TGTAGACCAGCCTGGCCTTGAACTCCCAGAGATTTGCCTGCCTCTGTCTCCCAATTGCTGGGATTAAAGGCGTGCCCCTACCCCCACACAACTGTTTGTTTTGGAGACCGGGGTCTCACTGTCTGAGACTGGCCTTGAATGCAGAATCCTTCAGCCTCCACCTCCCCAAGGCTGGGATTGCAGCCATGTATTACCATGCCCAGTGCCCTATCCTGGTAATGAGAAAAAGAGCAGCCTTCCTGAAATGGCTTACTGGCTAGAAGCGTGTTCTCTAGCTGTGAGGAAAATCAGGATGTGTAGCTGTTAACTTGGCCATTGAAGCAAACTGAAGATTCTCATGACATGGAGAAGAAGACCTTGAGAGTGGACAGATGGCACAGGGCTGGGGAGATGGCTTGGTACAGAGTGCTTGCCACCCAAGTGTCAAGATCCCCATCACCTGTAAATGCCAGAAATGCCAGGTAGTCTTGTCCTCCCTGTAATCTCAACACAGGGGAGCAAACTGGCAAGCTAGATCTGTGGAAGTCCATGAGCCCTAGCTTCAGCAGGAGATCCTGCCTTGAAGATGCCCACCTCCGGTCTATATGCACAAACACAAGCATGTAAGTGCACCTATACACACAAAAAAAGTAAAAACAAATGTAAACAATACAATCATGCCATTATGCCCCTCCATCCGTTTACCCACCCACTCACCACTCACCCTTCTGTCTACCCATCCATCTGTTCATACCCCCTTACCTATCTGCCCACACAGCCATTCATCTACCCACCCATTCATCATCCTTCACCTACTCATTCATTTACCAAACTATTCATCATTCATTAGCCCGCCCATCCATCCGTCCATCCATCCATCCATCCATCCATCCATCCATCCACTCACAGTCCCCTGCAACTGAAATTCCAGGGATTTATCTGTGGTCATCATGATGATGACTATTGAAAGTTTGGTCAGGGGAAAGATGGACATTTTCCTTTCTGTCACTGTATTTTTTTAAAGCAAGGAACATATTTCAATAATGAAAGATACGCATGTTTTTAAAACATGGAAGTTTATTCTGTGGTCAACTATATGGCTTTTTTTTTATGCACCTGAACCTCTTTATGTGCTATGAAACTCAACATTTAAGCCACCTTTGCCTTCTATGGGGGTCTCATAGGAGTGTGGCTGCATTTAAATTGCCTTTTTTTCCCATCCCCTGGGAACACCGCTAGACTAGCCATAATCCTACCAAAGTGCTCAGGAACTTTGACTGACAGCCCTAGGTAAAACGAAGTAAGTCTGATGAGAGGATGCGAGTATTTAATGAGACCTATGGGTGATGGTTCTCCGGGGCTGTCAGAAATCAGATTCTCTCTCTCTCTCTCTCTCTCTCTCTCACACACACACACACACTTTTGCTATCTCTTCACAATAAATGCCAGTCACATGAGCACGGAAACTTTGCCCTTTTTCCTCTGCTATCTCCCTAGTGCTGGGGATGTGGCTCAATAAGCATTTGCTGGACTGGAGATGTGTCTCAGCTGGCAGAGTGCATTCTCATGTGTTTAAATGCTTAGCCTATAGGGAGTGGCCCTATTAGGAGGTGTGGAGAAAGTGTGGCCTTGTTGGAGGAAGTGTGTCACTGTGGGGGCGGACTTTGAGGTCTCATATGCTCAAGCTACATCCAGTGTGGGACATGGGTCTCTTCTGTTTACTTCAGATCCAGATATGGTGATGCACACCTGAATCCCAGTACTTAGGAAGGAGGTATAGGCAGGAGGATCAGAAGTTCAAAGTCATCCTTGACTACAAAGGAAGTTCAAGACCAGCCTGAACAAGATGAGCCTGTGGTGGTTTAAACCGGTCTGGCCCCCACAGACTCGTGTGTGTGTGAATGCTTGGCCCATAGGAAGTGGCACTATTAGGAGGTGTGGGACTGTGGGATAATGCCCTTGTATATTGTAAAGATTTGTCACTCGTATTGGTTTAATAAAACACTGATTGGCCAGTAGCCAGGCAGGAAGTACAGGTGGAGCAACTAGACTAAGAGAATTCTGGGAAGAGAAAAGACAGAGATGCAATTGTCATCCAGAAGCAGAGGAAGCAAGATGAGAATGTCTTACTGACAAAAGATACCAAGCCACATGGCTAAACATAGATAAGAATTATAGGTTAATTTAAGTTGTAAGAGGTAGTTAGTAATAAGCCTGAACAATAGACCAAATAGTTTATAATTAATATAAGCCTCTGTGTATTTATTTGAGACTGAATGGCTGGGGGACCGGGCAGGACAGAAACTTCCATCTATAGTGCGGCCTCGTTGGAGTGGGCATGGTCTTGTTGGAGGAAGTGTGTCACTGTGGAGGCTGGCTTTGAGGTCTCGTATGCTCAGGTTATGTCCAGTGTGACTCAAAGTCTCCTTCTGTTGTCTGCAGTTCCAGATGTAGAAGTCTCAGCTCCTTCTCCAGCTTTACAGCAATAGTAACCATAGCTGAGACAGTCTTACTATGAAGCAGGGCTGTTCTGGAGCTCACTATGTAGACAAAATACCCATACAAAAAACATACAGAGGCCATCTTGGCCATGTGTTGATTTGAGTTGCGGGACACACCTATCAGGTCACTTTGCTTCTCTGTGTGACTCTGAGAAGAGTCTCTTCTGGCACCTTACAGGGAGCCCTGGCAAGCTAGACATGTGCTGAAATGGGTGTGTACCGTCAAGGTGGGTACTAGGGAACCTTGGTGGAGAGGCCCTAGTGGAGATCTGGGAGGCGCTCAGGGTCTGACAGCCTAGGGAAATGGGAGCTGAGGCACTCAGCAGAGGGGAGGCACAGAAGGCAAGACATGCAAGAAGCAACTCCCAGACCAGCTCTGAACTGGGGCAGGCCCAGGGGTGAGCTCTGTAAAATGGACTTTGAGCTGTCCTAAGTTAGAGGAGCCTTTGGGCATCCGTCCCAGGTCTCTAAGTTTCCCAGAGCCCTAAGTGCTAGAATCTGAGGTCCACCTGGTCCCAGGAATCCTGGATTTCAGGTCAGTCTTGGCAACAGGTGCGTGTGGGACACCTAAGGACCCACCTGACTGGGATTGTCCTGAAGGAGGAGATGATGGGAGGAGCCCAGTCACACCATCAAACCCAGGTCTCTTTGTCCTGGCTCCCCCTGCAAACCCAAGTCTCTCTGTCCTGGCTCTCCCTGCGGGGCCTGCAGGCTATAGAGAGGGCAGGGGATGACTGGTGACTCAGTAGCCCTACAACCCCTCTCCAGTCCACCTGCCACACCTGCCACACACACACACACACACACACACACACACACACACACACACACTGCTCATAGAGCAGCTGCCAGCCCCAAGAGGCTGCTTATATTCAAATGTGTAAAAGTTAGATAAAACTTAAAAGACTTCTCTTCTGTGAGGGCTGGAGAGATGGCTCAGAGGTTAAGAGCACTGACTGCTCTTTCAGAGGACCCGGGTTCGATTCCCAGCACCCACGTGGCAGCTCACAGCTGTCTGAAGATCCAGTTGCAGGGGATCTGACACCTTCACACCATTGCACATAAAATAAAGTTAAGTAAACCATAAAAATATTTTTTAAGGGGCTGGAGAGATGGCTCAGTGGTTAAGAACATTGCCTGCTCTTCCAAAGGTCCTGAGTTCAATTCCCAGCAACCACATGGTGGCTCACAACCATCTGTAATGGGGTCTGGTGCCCTCTTCTGTCCTGCAGACATACACACAGATAGAATATTGTATACATAATAAATAAATATTAAAAAAATTTTAAAAAAGGCTCCTCTTCCGTGGCACAACCATATTGCAGATGCCTCAGGAGCCTCCTGTGACCAGAAGCTGCCAACATGGACAGTGCAGATAGAAGCAATGTCCTTCATTCCAGAGAGTTCTACTGGACACCATGTTTCTCTCTCTCTCTCTCTTTCTTGATCTTTCTTTCTTTGTTTCTGTCTGTCTCTCTGTTTTTCTCTTTCTTTCTTTCTTTCTTTCTTTCTTTCTTTCTTTCTTTCTTTCTTTCCTGTTTGGTTTTTCAAGACAGGATTTCTCTGTGCAGCTTTGGCGCCTGTCCAGGAACTCACTCTATAGACCAGGTTGGCCTCATACTCCCAGAGATCTGCCTGCCTCTGCCTCCTGAGTGCTGGTATTAAAGGCACGCACCACCACCACTTGGCTCTCCCTTTCTTTTTGAGATGGAGTTTCCTGGCAGTACAGCATGACTTTGAACCACATAACAGGAGGCTGGCCTTGAATTCCTGATCCTCTTGTCTCCATCTCCCAAGTGCTGGACTACAGGTGGGTGCCCTGCGCCTAGCTCAGTGCCAAAGCTGTAAAGCAGAGCTTGGCCTGTGTCCTCACCGGGCTGAGGGCTCTGCCTATCCCCACACTGGACCCTCTGGGTTACCGAGAGCCGGCGGTATTTATCACTGCACCTGCTAGCGGGGGACAGCTAGGCTGTGAAGAGTGAGTTTAACTCTGTGGTGGCTAAACTTGATTGTCATTTTGACAGGACCTGGGATCAATGAAAAGGCGTGTCTGTCTGGGAGGATGAGCTGAGAGGGAAGGGTTCCCCCGGGGTGGGAAGCCTCTGGATGCATCTGCTCTGTTGCTGTTGCTCATACCATGATCTACCATATCAGAATCTAGTCTTTCCAACCTTCCAGTGCAGACTAAAGACCAGTCAGTGACTCCACGAATCCTTCCTGCTGCCAGCACCAGACTTAGACATCTAGATGATCTAGCCCTGGGGACTAAGCGCTCATGAGGTTCTCAGACTCTCCAGCATGCAGACAGCCATTGTTGGCCTAGCTAGTGTCGGTTCCATTCCTGTATAGAACGTGACCAGTGCATTCACCCAGACACCCACAGTGGGACGGTGCTGTTGCTCGAGGTGAGGTTCATCCACATCTGGTTTTAGAGGGAGGATGCATCCAGCATCCCACCGTATCCCCATATGGGCCTCCTCTGTCCTGTGTTCTCAGACTTCATAAGAAGGCGACCTGAGGTTGTGTCTAGCATTTTTATTGGCTGGAGGAAAGGGGGACACATGGCAAAGGTTGTGGGCTGGGGATCGTAGTGTCTCCAGGGCTTGCTCCTGGCTCTGCACGCATCAGGTCACTTTCTTGGGCAGAGGATTGATGATCCCGCTCTCTATGTACTCGAAGACTGTGTATGGGTCCTGGTCCCCATTGACAGTGACGGCCTGATCATAGTACTGCTCCAGGTCCCTGCAGTTCCTGTAGAACAGGTCTGTTTGAAGCCTGATGTGCTCCTCTGAGTCCCTGGGGTTCTGCAGGAGACGGGCCTGGACTTCGATGGTGGGAGGAGGCTTATACATGAGATGGAACCTAGGGGGGAAACAGATGACACGGGGGCTCTCAGTCCTCATCATATCGACCACGCTAGGGCGCCCTTGCCAAGTCGCCATTACCACCAGGCACGACCATCGGCCGTGGGCCAGCTGGATGTATCTTGGACTGGCCTTGGGCTTCTGGGACATGAAGATGTGGTCCCAGCTCAAAGAGAGAGCAGAAGTCAGCTGGAATGGGGGGCAGAATGTAAAGTCAGAAAGAGCCAGTTTCCCCTTTATCTCAGAACTCAGGAGGCCCAGGCAGGCAGATCTCTACATGTTCCAGGTCAGCCAGAGCTGGACACAAAACAACAAACAAAACTCCAAGTTCTTTCCTTTTCCCTACCTTTGCCCCCTACCAAGGCCCCCTCCACTCCTCCCCGTCATGTATTGGTCTCTGCTGCTGGCAGATCTGGCAGCAGCTGTGGCCTGGTCAGCCTTGATGAGTGGAAGTCCATGCTATTGAGCCTGTGCATAACCCCCATCTGTGCCACCATGGCCACTTTGTTCATGGCCCATTGGGCAATGACAGGAACGGCTGGGCAAAGAGACTGACTGCCCACAGAATGGGTCATCCTAACTACTTGATTACTGTATTGAACACCTCCTCAGCTGAAATCACCTTTTGATGAGACACAAGTATCTTCACATCCTTTGCCCATTTGGAGAGATCTGTCCACAAACTTCTTCCCCAGATGTCTTTCTCACCAATTTTCCAGTTTTACTCTTTCCAAGTCCCTGACCATCCAGCAAATCCACTGGCTACAGCCCATGAATCAGTGAACACCCATACATCTGGTTATCTCTCCTTTCAAGCCAACTGTGTGACCATGTGTACTGCCCAAAGCTCTCCCCAGTGTGAAGATTTCCCTTCACCAGTATCTTTCAGGGTTGTCTTGGGTGGGGCCTGCATAGTGTGCAGAACCATCAATAAACCAGGCCCTGGTCTTCTCTTCCTCAGTCAGCTGATCATAAGGAACAACACCCATGAGGCTATAGGTTCATGCTTGTGGAGGCCCAAAAAATGTAACCTGATGGTCAGAGAGTTTGGAGATTGTTCAAAATTGATGACAACAATCAGGGCTACACATCCTGACTCAGGGTGTACTTGGTTCCTCTGACATTAAGATGGCTCACACAGGTAGATCCACTCCACCCTGACAGATGGTCAGAATATTCAAGCATACTTCTGTTCCTTCTTTTGTAATAGGAGGCTACCTGGGGAGTGGCTGCCTTCAGAATACTCCGTCTAAAAAAACAGAATGCTAATGACTTGATGCCTCAAAGTGTTGCAGCAATTAACTGTTCGAGCTGTCCTTTGTATCGTGTTAAAAAATTCTGTTGCCTTCTCCCCCCTTTTGTATTAGGGTATAAAAGTGTATGGAAAGTTAAACGCAGGTGATTTTCAGAACTCACTGGAACTCCCTCCCAGTACTATCCTATATTTTCTGTTTTATTATTTTACTTGTGTCTTTGTACTCTTTACTTATTTTTCTGATTCCCACGTCCCTACCCTGGCAAGAGGCATTTTTGTTGAGGCTGGTCCCCAACACATGCTTGGCAGTAGACGGCACTGTAATGGGAGTAGAAGCCATGGGCATTTGGGCCACTCCTCCGGGTAACTTGCTTGTGCCTTCAGGACCTACTCAGGCCCAACCACTTGCATACGACTTCCATTGGATAATGAACTGCAGCTGTGCTTGTCCAACTTCATGACGTGGTGGGTCACAGATAACACCCAGCTCGTGATGGGCATCTCAGGTCAAATGGCAACTTGGTGGCCCACTGTCAAATGTTCCGTTTCCACTAAGGCCAGGTAGCAGGCCAAAAGCTGTCTCTTAAAGGGACAGTGTTTATGGACAATAGTAGAGACTTGCTCCAAAATCCCAAAAGTCTCTTCTATGATTCACAGAAGAGCTTGCCAAAGGGGCTTGCCAAAGGCTCCAAACAGCATCCCTATCTGTCACTGACACCTCAAGGACCATCCGGTCTCCTGAATCATAAGGTTCAAATGGTAGAGCAGCCTGGACCTGTTAAGAGTCTTCTGTTCCAGACCCTACTCCTGGTACCAAAATCTCTATTTGTCATGGTTCTCTAGAGGAACGAACTAATAGAATGAATATATATGTGAGATTAGAATGACTTACAAGCTATGGTCCAGCTAGTCAAATAATGACTGTCCATTAACAGGAGGTCCAAGAACTCATTAGTTTTTCAGTCTCTGAGAATGAATGTCTCAGTTGGTATTCAGTATATGCCAGAAACCCAAAGTCATAAACTCTGATACCAATGAAGGAATGAGCTTGCTAGGAAGAGCAAGAACAAGTTGGCAAAGAGAGCGAGCTTCCTTCTTCCATGTCCTTTATATAGACTGCCAGCAGAAGGTGTGGGCCAGACTAAAGGTGGATCTTCTCATCTCTCAAGATCCGGATTAGAAGTAGGTCTTCTGGGCATTGGTGGCACACACCTTTAATCCCAGCCTTTGGGAGGCAGAAGCAGGTAGATTTCTGAGTTCAAGGTCAATCTGGCCTACAGGGCAAGTTCTAGGACAGCCAAGGCTACACAGAGAAACCCTGTCTCAAAAAACAAAAAAACAAACAAAAAAGGAGTGGATCTTCTCATTTCAAATGATTTAATTAAGGAAATATCTGGAGCTGGGCAGTGGTGGCACACACCTTTAATCCCAGCACTCAGGAGGCAGAGATAAGCATATTTCTGTGAGTTCGAGATCAGCCTGGTCTACAGAGCAAGTTTCAGGACAGGCTTCAAAACCACACAGAGAAACCCTGAGCATGGCAGTGTACCCCATTATTCCCAGCACTGGAAAGGCAGAGGCAGGCAGATCTCTGTGAGTTCAAGGCCAGCCTGGTCTACAGAGTGAGTTCCAGGACAGCTAGGGACACAGAGAAATGCTGTCTCAAAACCATACTAAACAAAAAGAAAAAAAGAAAGAAAGAAAGAAAGAAAGAAAGAAAGAAAGAAAGAAAGAAAGAAAGAAAGACCATTACAAACATATCCAGCCTCTTGGGTTTTAGCTAATTCCAGATGTAGTCAAGTTGACAACCAAAGAAAAGCCATCAGGAGCTGGAGAGACGGCTCAGCAGTTAAGAGCACTGACTGCTCTTCCAGAGGTCCTGAGTTCAATTCCCAGTAACCACATGGTGGCTCACAGCCATCTGTAATGAGATCTGGTGCCCTCTTCTGGCCAGCAAACATACAGACAGACAGACAGAACACTGTATACATAATAAATAAATAAATCTTAAAAAAAAAGTAAAAAAAAAAGAAAGAAAGAAAAGCCATCACACAGGATTTCTTCTATGTAGCCCTGGCTGTCCTGAAACTTCCTAAGTAGACCAGGTTAGCCTCAAAGTCAGAGATCCACCTGCCTCTGCTTCCCAAGGGCTGGGATTAAAGGCTTGCACTGCCACAAAGAGTTTATCTGTGTGTGCGTGTGTGTGTGTGTGTGTGTGTGTGTGTGTGTGTGTGCGTGTGTGTGTGTATGTGTGTGTTCTAGTGACTGAACTCAAGTCCTCGTGTTTGCAAGGCAAGTACTCTACCATCTGAGATCTCCCCAGCTTCATCTGTTCTTTTTCTATCCTTCCAAGCACTATTTGTTAAGTACTAACAGGCTGCCCATCTGGTGCAGCCATTTCTGAAGCGGGAGTCCAGCGGGGGGCTAGGAACACAGTGGCCAGATACTTAACCAGTGTGGTGCTGCAGGGCCTGGTACCTTCCTTCCCTCGCTCTTGCAGACAGGGAGCCCAGAAGAATGCAGAAAACAAACCTGCTTCTAGCCTCTATCAGTAGTAGCCAGTGCTATTCTGAAGCAGGTCTACAATAGACCGAGTACCTTAGCGGAGAGGTGACTTTGCAGGGGACCTGGCCACCAAGAGCCCTCCATGACCAGCCACCAGTAAGGCCTGACCAACCTTTCTCCTGTGACAGGGTCAGTCCTTCTCAGCGTCATTCGCTCCAGGATGGAATCCAATGGCACATTCAGGAAGAACACCCTGCAGAGAGAGACCACAGTAGCCGTGTTTGTTACTGTCTGAACCTGGCAAAGCTTTGTCAGCCTGGACCTACTAACCCTAGGGAGACTATTCCTCCCCTTCCCTGGCTGACACTGGAGGTATCAAAAGCTGACCTGTCAACATGACTTTCAGGTACATGGCAAACCCACCTAGAGCCTAGAGCCCCACCCTCCTCCTCTAGCAAACCCACTCTTGAGTCCAGTAATACCCCAATGCCAGATACTAGGGTGACCAGAGTCTTCCAGAATCAACCATTGGCCACTCTGGAGCCTACACTGCCTTGTTCATTCCTCCTCACAGAAACCACAACCAAGTTCCCTGGCCACCCTTGTCCCCTTCTGCCTGCTGCCTCCTGCCCTTAATGTCTGCCCATGTGGCCTTGTGGGGCATTGGCCTCTCTGTTGTCACTCATTTACCTCCAAGGTTGGCATGATTCTCCACACGTGTGCATGTGTGTGTTTCAGGGAGCAGAAGGTCTACCCCAGCTCCCTGAGACAGCTAGGGATGGCTATTCAGACCCTACCTGGACTGGCCTTGCTCCATTCCCGTTGGCTGGGAGACACCTTTTCCCTCTGGTTCTTTTGTACCTGTGGCTTGGCTGTGACTAGGGCTGTGAAGAGGCTAGGCTCAGGGCTCCCCTGGCTATGGGGGCTGGTGAAGGACGCAGACCCAACCAAGCCAGGCACATGCAAGGCAGCTCCAGTTCCTTCTACAGGAGCTTCATCAACTGACTTCACTGCGCTGGACAGATGGAAGCCCAGAGTTACCCAGAGGGCCTTCCTTAGAAAGGCTTGCGCAGAGCCAACAGGGAGGTGACCAGATGAAATAGGACCACGCATAGCCTGAGGCTGATACCTCAGTAATTGACTGACACAAATACTTATATATCTCTACTTTTGCTTAGGTTGGCTTCCTCTGGATTCCTTCTAGTACTTACCCAAAGTTACTCTTTCAAAAAAAATCTTTTATCTATTCATTTTTTGGGAGGTAGAGGTCAAAGAATAACTGTGCAGGTCCCTGTACGCACCGTGGGTGGGAGAAGTGAAACTCAGGTCAGCTCTACTCAGCTGTCACTGGCTCAAACTTCTGGAGTCTGACACCAGATGGTTGATTTTAGTGGTATTTGGGCACAACACAACTTGGGGGAAAGTTTCCTGATGACAGTTAACTCATTCCTGTGGATACAATGAAGCTTAAGGCATGTTTACTACAATGAAACATTTTGGGTTTTTTGTTGTTGTTGTTGGTTTGTTTAAAGGTTTATTTATTTACTTAATGTATATGGGTGCTCTATCTGCATGTATGACTTTATGCTAGAAGCAGGCACCAGATCCCAATATAGATGGTCATGAACCACCATGTGGTTGCTGGGAATTGAACTCAGGACCTCTGGAAGAGCAGCCAGTGCTCCTAACCTCTGAGCCATCTCTCCAGCCCTGAAACACTTTGTTGTTTTGTTTTCTGTGTGCGGCCCTGGGTGTCCGGGAACTTTCTCTGGAAGACTAGGCTGACCTTGAACTCACAAAGATCTCTCCCGAGTGCTGGGATTAAAGGCCTGTACCACCACCACCTAGCTATCTTGAAACTCTTTACAAAGTACATATGGCTTCATCCCTGAAATGGATTCTTGTTGGCTTAGAAACAGTGCTCAAGATAAAGGTCTAGGGAAAATGACTGAGGTAAACATAACATCTGTGGGAGTCAGGATTGGCCTGGCCCAAAGAAAAATGGAAGTCACGTAGGCTGTTGTAAAGTACAAATTATACCTCCAACAAATTATGAGCTGAGAAGCAATGCTCAAGGTTTATCAAGGTTTAGGCGGGGATGGTTGGGGATAAAAAAGCTTAAAATTCTGGGGGATTCGGGTGCAGGCTGGCCCAACAGACAGCAAAGATCACCACGTTGCGAACTATGTCCTTTCCCAGCATTCCAGGCGGAAGGCAGGTAAGCACCTCCTTCCTCTAAGAGACAAGCCTGTGTGTTCAACTTTGCTGGTTTCCTTTTTGCTTATCTGGGTGCGCAGGCCCTTGTACCCTCTACAGACAGCTTGCCGGAGCTGGTCTTCTCCTTCTACCTGTGGGTCCCAGGGACTGAACTCGGGTCATCAGGCAAGTGCCCTCACCCCTGAGGCATCTCACCAGCCCCAGTTGCCTTTGTTGCTGTGACCTAAGACGTTACAAGAAGCAATCTGAGGGCAGAAACATTTATTCCGTCTCACAGTCAAGGCATCAGGGCGGCAGGAGAATGAGGCAGCCGCTCACTCAAGTGGGCACCAGGAAGTGGAGGACAAAAGGAAAGCTGGGGTGGGTCACTGAAACCTCAAGGCCTTCCCCAACCTCCCCCGCCCCTTCAGACTTCTACTAGAAAGACTCTACCTCCTAAAGGTTCCAGAACCTTCCTGGAAGTGTCTAAGCAGTCACATACATGAGTCAATTCACATTCAAACCACATGAACACCTGACACACTTGGTATCATACACTAGAACATGTATGAACTCAAGAGAAAAACAGCTAACCAACAAATGGGGAAGCAGGCCAGATGTTCTTTCTCAAGCCAGCTACTCCCAAGGTGGGTCTCCTCCTCTCCCTTTGCCCAGCTTCCCCTCCCTGAGGGCCACCTCCGCACAACCCTGCTGGTATGTGTGTAGCTGCAGCCACCCCACGAAGCGAGCACAGCTGGTTCCCAGCAGCCTAGCAGGCCGGAACCATGACAAGCTCTTGCTCACTGCCATGTTGTCTGTCGGGCTCATTCAACCTCTGAGACACTGAACATGGTGTTATCTACAAAGTTCACACTCAGGAGCCACGTCCAGTTATAAAACACACTTACATACAAACACACACTTATTCAGATATTATACACACACACACACTCACACACACACACACACACACACACACACACACATACACATACATGCTCACACACTCATGTATTGCTAATGAAGGCTGCAAGTGGCCCATGGGCTTGAGGAAGACACATTTGCTTCCTAATGACTCTGTCTCATAGACTGCCACAAAACACCACTGATACAATATAGTGTAGCAAGCTTTTTCTTTAGGCCACCAACCAGCTCCCGAATCACGACACAGACTTATTATTAGTTATAAACACTCAGCCTTCGCTTATGCTTATTTCTCGCTAGACGAAGGAAAACCTAACATCTTTCTTTTCATCCACGTTTTGCCTTGGGGATTCTTAACTTCCCTTTCGTTCTGTGTATCTTTCTTTCCTGCTGTCTGCAGGTCTGGCTGATGGGCGGCTGCCTGGCTTCTGGCCCCAGGTATGTCCTCCTCTTTCTCCCTTGTTCTCTTCTTCTCTAGTCTAGATTTCTCCTCCTATGTATTCTCTCCGCCCACCAGCCCTGCCTCTCCCTCTCCTGCCTAGCTATTGGCTGTTCAGCTTTTATTAGATAAATCAGGTGCCTTAGACAGGCAAACATGTGAAACAGTAACACACCTTTACATAATTAAACACACATTCTGGTATTATTAAACAAGTACAGCATAAACAAATGTAACACACCTTTACACAGCTAAATATGCCGCAGCGTAAATAAATGGAACACATCTTTACATAGTAATTTCCACAACAGTGCAGTGCACAGAGCACTGCATAAATTAAAAGTCCAACAATACATTAAGAGAATAATTTATTATTACAACTAAGTAAGCTTTAATCGATCTTAAATTGAAAGTGAAATTTATCATACTTTTAGTCTAACTTGACAGGGTCTCGTTATGTAGCCTAAGCTGGGCATCAACTGCTCTGCAGCCCAGACTGACCTTGTATTATCAATCCTCCTGACTCAGGCTCCTGAGGGCTACAACTACAGGTGCGCACCATGCATGAGAGAGGACAACACAGATCAGCTTACACAACAGCAACAACAACACAGCTAACAGTGTGCAAACGGTGAGAGACCGAATGTTTGTCTCTGACCCGGGTAACAGGGCAAAGGTGTCTGCTCTCATGATCCCTCTTCGACTGACTCCTAGAACTGGTCCTCTGACCACCACATGTATACACATATGTACACATACAAACACAAACACACACCAAATGTAATTAAAACAAATAACCCTCTGTGTCTCAAAATGCATTTTAAAAATAAGCCAGAATGGGAAAAAATATTTGCAAAACACAAGCATTTGTATCCAAAGTTCAGGAAGTGTGAGCTGCATGCACAGTTGGCAACACACGTGTGCAGGTGCCCTAACTGCTCCAGTATCTCCAGAACTGATATCCAAAGGGGAGAGTGTGGCATCTGAAGATAGTTTCTTGGAAAAGGCTCAAGTTGCCTCCTCTTTCCAGCATATCAAAGGCCCAGCCTCTGCCATGGGGAGCCCGTCTTTCAGGCTGAAAGGAAGGCACCGGGGCTCTTCCTGTGCAGACCCTCTATGGCTGTGGTACAACTCATGGTGTTTCCTCGCAGGGAGAACTACACAGTGACCACCATTGGAGGAGGACCGGGAAAGAGGAGAGTTCCCAGAGAAAATACAAATAGCACCCCAGATGAGATGATGGAGTGATGGACAAAGCGCATTGCCTGACTGGAAGCTGCGTCCAGGACATGGAAGGAGAAGATGAAGCCAAGGTTGTCCTCCATCAGTGACAAATTTCACGGTGTTCTGAGAGCACAAAGCAGAAGTAGCCATGTTATGTGTCTGAGTAATTTGCCTGCATGTATGTCTGAACAACACGTATGTACCTGGTACCCACAGAGGTCATAAGAAGGCATCAGATCCCCTGGAACTGAATTATAGATGGTTGTGAGCTGACATGTGTATTCTGAGACTAGAACTCAGGTCCTCTACAAAAGCAACAAGTGTTCTTAGCTGCTGAGCATATAGAAGCCATAAAATATCTTCAAGGATCATCTTAAGGAAGCCTGCCTACCTCCTTTGAGATGGGGTCTCTCATTTTCCTAGAGCTAGGCTGGTTAGTTGGGGAGCCCCATGGATCTTCCTATTCCTGC